AACTCATCTCTCCTATTGTGTATTTCCAAGCTRCAAAAGGTAGCRYGACCCTGTTGCACAAGACYTGTTCACCATGTTTTGTCATRTGTGTTTTTCTTGAACGRGTGATCTTAACTGCATTTCGTTCTTCATTGCATCTCTGTAATGTTTGAATGACAATAAAGCGAATCGAATCTAAYCTAATCTAAATAGCGTAATCTGCTTTATGATGGGTTGGATCTGAATAGTTTCAGAACCTGGTAAAAACCAGATTGTTTTCATTATATTCTGATATTAATTGACAAAATGTGTTGTTTACAGGTACTAATTAATTGAAATTAATCAGTTACAAAAATAAAAGCATGAGGGCAAAAAGTAAGGGCAGTGATTGGCATTGTTTTCCTTTTCTGTGGGTTATTCTCATTATTTCAGAAAGATGAAACAGAGGCCAGGTTTGTTAGAACTTAATTATTCATTTGGATCCATAAAGTCAATCAATTAAGCTTAAGTGTGCGATAAATCTGATTAACCAGTCGGTTCCCAAAACACCATAAAATCCATGCAGGTCTTATGTGCTGGTAATGAGTTTGCATACAGAGAGGTGTGGAGGGGGTGAATAAGTGAGAGTGCTCACCCACAAAAACACAAACCACTCCACTGCCTATGTTTTTTTTTTCTTTTCCCAGGCAATAATTTGATGTATTGGCTATGGGGGATGAAAGATAAGCTGGGCCTAATGTATGCTAATATTCTAAGGTCTGCAGCTTGCAACAAAATAAAGCAAGGTCATCAAGAAATGGCACACTTGTAATTAATAGTCAAATTCATTAGAAAAACATTGACTCAGGTCAGAGACACTCATTAACAAGATAAGGTATTTGAAATGAAAACAAAAACGTTAATGTGCCAACGATGGAGAGTCGCTGAATTCAACCTTGGGATGCCGTCAGTGCAGTCGCTGTGTGTTTGATTGGTTGAACCGGTCAGCCTCTTCCCTGCCACTGTCGTATCATTTCTCATTATTCTCCAACACGCTCTYTTGCTGATGCTCACCCTCCCTCTCTCTCGCGCTATCCCAGCTTCAATCTCACCGCCTCCCTCCCTCCATCATTCGCTGGCCTTTACCTGCTCGCTTGTCTCGGGGGAAATTACCACAGCATGAAAAGGCAGTCCTACTGCACCACGCTGCAACGCTCTGCTCTGCTCAGCCTCCCTCCAAATGCACAACCATTCGGCACATAAGCTTTGTCCAGACAAAAAAGCCTTTAAAGAAATAGCTCAAATCTTCTGAAGTGGGGCTCTGTGGAAAGAATATGAAGAGTTAACATCCTTCCTGTTGTAGATTATTTTTTTGAAGAGTAGAGAAATAGTTTCATGACTGGATTGATGAGAAGGCTCTTCAGGATGTGGATTGATGTCCAATCTCAGAACGTGGACASCAGTTCATGTATGCTGTAGCCTCAGTTATTCTTGCAAAAGTAGGATAATATTGCTACAGTTACTGCTGCTGTTTGAAATGCAAAYAACCAAACAATTTTGTCAAAATGCATAAATTATGCAATACTTACACATATGCTCCAGTAAGACCATGCAAAAAACAATAGTGTTAGCTCTGTGTGTGTATGTAGCTATGTATCTGTGCTACACAGCCTTTTGTTACGAGTTTAAGCTATATTATTCATTACACAGAGGAGAAGAAGTTTTTTCTCACTGCATTAGTTTGCAGATAATGATCTAACAGTCTGTGTTTTATGCAGGTGCATGTATTTCATTAACTAATGACTTTTCTGTGTCAGACTTCTTCTATAGATAATAGTTCCCTCTTTTGTCTCCATAACAGAAAGGACCTCCCTCCTCTTCCTGATCTGAACTACCATCCCTCCAGCTCTAGCAGTCTGTCTTATCTCTCATTGCAATTCCGCAAACCTTGGAGATGAGCAATGAGCATCTCAGCAGGATTTCACCACTCCGCRCTGTTATTTAACGAACAGGCACTTCAATCACGTTGCTAATCAGTGAGAAAAACTCGCATCGAGTGTTTCAGCTCAACCGGCACAGCTCCTCCTTGAAGTAGCACAACTGAGAGTCGCTGTGTTTATGATTCTTCTTTCATGTGCACTTATAGGAGACGGTTTCTACCTTCGCTGGAGTTATCGTCAACACACTTCTTTTGCATATGTCAAGTCACGCCTTTGGAAATGTTACTTGGAGTGGCTCACCATCCACATTTTCATCGCTCACGTGCATAAAGTCAAGACAGTCAAGCAAGATTCTGTATTCACAATCAATGGTAAAAGACCCCTACACCCCCACCCTCTGAAAAAAATCAGGCATCACACAGCAATTATTGATTGTCTTCCTGCAACTGGGGGATAAAGACTTGAAACAGGGATCGGCTTTTTTCTTCGGAGCTGTCGCGACATGCTTGGTTACCTCTCAGATCACGTTTGTTTGATCAAATATAAAGATTACATGTTTAAGATGTGTTGTTGTTTAGAGTTAGTTAGGCTGCAGCGTTCTTTTGCTGATACTGTAAATTTAATAGACAAAACATTTTAATTCTGAAGAGAAAAACACWATTTGCACAGTTTTGTTTTGGTGTTTTTTAATTTTTTTTATCAAAGATTTTTAATATTAGGAATAAGACATTTTTTGTCTCATGGGGAACGTATTTAAATGCTCAAGTGCAGCTAAGAGCAGATGCATTAAATATGCATGTAGCCATGTAACATTTAAGTGTGGGAGAAGATTTGCGACAGGGATAGTTAAGTGATTTGTGTGCATGTGTGTGTGTGTGAGGTGAGGAGGGGTGTGTGGAGGAGGGGGTGCATCAAAATCCCAGTTGTGAGGTGTTCACATGCAGCCTTGTGTGCACACTCTGGTATCAGGCTTGAAATTAAAACCTTATGCGGAACAGAGCTCATGATTGGAGTGGAATTAAAACAAAAGGCAGAGGAGCAGAGTGAATTAAAAGGAGAGAGGAGAGAAAGGGAGGCGAGTCGTCTGGGAGGGAAAGGAGCCTCTGCTGCAGTCCAACAGCTTGTGTCTCTGGGATGGTTCTTATCAGAATGTCAGGCGGACCTTTCCCGTTGACTTGCTCCTGTCAGCAGTCTGGTTAAATGTGAGAGCAATTAGGGAAATTGGCAAAGTCAAAGAAACGTCTCAAAGACACCTAAATGAAAAGCTGGGATGAGCTGGAGAGCAGATGTGCATACGTGCACTCACTCTCACACACACATCTCCTCACACTCACTATCTTCTTTGATGATAAAGCTCCTGTCAATTATAGCTTGTTGTCACTTCACTCTAGCTATGACTAATGCACTTTACTTTGCATTCTGTTATAATTCAATGCATTACCAAAAACATTTCCTATATATTTACACAGCATGTTTAGAAAACGGTTTCCGGTGCTTTTAGCTCTGAGCTACAGTCAAGTACATTTCCCCCACGGTGTTTCTGAAGGCATTCCCCCCCTGCTCTCACCTCTCTTAACCCTGAGCACGGAACATCTGCTTTCTCCATTCAGTAAAAGCTTGCTGCTTTAATRGCTCTGGGCGTACTGCCTTGAAAAAGAAAGAAAGGGGGCTTTTGGCAGGGGCCCCCGCCTCTCTAATTTGTAGTCTCTCCCAGCGACGTACAGGAGCGTTCTCACTGGTCAGCCTTACCCTTTTGTAGAACAGTCTTGACCTGTTCCCACTGCAGAGTGTGTGTCTGTGTGTGCATGTGTTCGTCWGCGCACAGAGGGGTCATTTCCATGAGAAAGGAGCCCCAAGAATGGACAAGGGGCCGTGCTTTATTTCTCTGAGGAGGCTGCAGATGCAGTTCAGGGGTGCACAAGGGTTTCTGCATCCTTGTGAATAGTTGTTGTCGCCTCATGTTTCTGGTTATGATGTGATGGAGAGATTCATGAGAAACTTGAAGCATAAAATCCCTGTGTGTCTGTAAAGTTTGCAACCTTTAGAATTATAAGCTCTTGAGCTGTTTTGATAAGATTTGTTTAATCGTAACCTGAAATATTATTTAACAGTGTCATTAGGAGTGAGCGGTCATTGCATCAGTGCTGCCAAGTACTTTTCTGCAAGCTGCCTGACGCTTTTCTTTGAACATTTCAATGTACTGCTCGTTCCTCCTGACACCGCTTAAACTTTACAAGCYTGCCTAAACTATTTGCGGAACAAAACCTTTCAGATTGAGATGTAAGTAGTGCAGCGACGGCAGAGCATACATATTTAACGTRTCTCCAGATGTGTGCAAATGTAATTTTAGTGGTTTTCATCAGGGGTGGGCTGTTATGGAGTGATGTTGCAATTGGCAAGAATGATTTCCTGTATCAGTCTCTGTGGTGAAGCTGATTGAGTCTGTTGGCAAAAGAGCTTTGCTGTCTTCATAGGGTGTCTGGGGGGTGGGGGGTAGATTGTCCATGATGGAGAGCGATTCATTCAGTGACCTCCTGTCCCTTACTTACTCAAACGTTTCCAAGTTCTGKCCAATGATTTATTGTCCCCCAGCTTTTTTAATGCATTTAGTGAGCCTGCTGGCATGATTGTTTTGACAGGGCACCCACCGGAAATGCTGCAGCTTGTTGCCACCGCCACTGTATTTGCACTTGCAAATAACCATGCAACAAAGTTTTTATTTTCTTTTTTGCAAATAGCACCCTACTTCAAAAAAAACTCTGAACTATTCTGTAAGCATCCTTAAAATGTAATCTTCATGTCACTTCCTGACTTTTATTCTAAATTTAACCTAACAGTTCCACAGTAATGTAACTCTCAGTGAGTCAGTTTGACCATTTAGTACACAGTGATCGCTGCATGCTTCAGTTCTTGCCCTGGAAATGAGAGCCGTGTTCTTCAGCYTCTTCCCTGCTGTCCATCCATCCCCTGACTGSGTYCAGAGGCTCTGCAGGCGCTCACAGSAGCAAAGGGATGGGCTCGAGGGGCGGAGCTTGTGTCCCGCGCTCTGATTGGTCGAGAGTGACGTATCGGGACGCTCTTCCTGGTGTGTCTGCTCAGCCTCACTGGGAGGAGGAGAGGCAGGCGGACTGCGGCTGTGTGTGTTGTTTAGTTTGAACAAAATGGCTGCGAGACCGCTGTCAACGAGAGCTCCCTGAACCGCCTACCGTGAGTGTCCGCTCCGTCGTATGGATCAACACAGAATGTATTTCGTCGGAGCCGCTACTCACTTCTCATTCGCGGTAGTCAGCCCGTGTCGAGTCGCCCAGCCGGCGACWTAAACAAACAAACCTTTCTTTTTTGCACTTTAAAACAAGTTGGCTGGCTGACGGCCGTCGGCTTGCTTAGCGAGAACTGCTCAGCGATTTTTTTTTCCTCCACTAAAACTGCCTAAATTCTGTTGTTTTGCAGTACTTCGCAAAGGTCGACGACTGAGTTAAGCCAACCAGCTAATGATAGCTTATATAATTTAGCTGCTTTTCAAAGTCATTTTATTCGTATTTGGGTTTTTTGGTTTGTTTATTAGTGGTGCTTCGCCCCATCCCCTCCCCTCGTTACAACGTCGTATGGTTTTGTTTTTATTTTTATTATTTTTTTGCCCAGTACAATTTGACGAACTATTTAATTGTCTTGCTCAAAGCAGAAAATCACCGTACTTGCTGTRTGTTTATCTGGCTGCGTAGCCAATTGTTTACCTCGAATATTATCTTTGACACCAAGCTGCTTCAGCAGCAGTCGGCTTATCTATCAAGTCTGACTTTAATTGCGACTAAAATCTCTGCTACATCGCTTTACGGGTAACTTTTAAATAAAGAGAAGAAGAGGAGGAAAAACAAACAAAAAACATGCTTTATTGCATATTTTTCTGCCATGCATCGACTCTTCACTGAAACAAGCGGCCAAAGCTGTTGTGAAAGGAAGGTAAGTTTCAAAACAAGRATCTTATGTGTGTTATAAATAAATTGTTGCTGTTGTGTTTAAAAGTCTACATTTCTGCTGGAAATGAGCTATGCTTGGTAAATATTTATGTATAAATTGTAATAACATTTTCCCCACAAATCTATTATCTGCATCTTCAAAAACCCAATGTTTGCCATACCCTGTGAAGTTATGTGTATTGGTATAATTATCAGGAGAGGCTTAAAAATGCTGCATTCTTGTATGTTTTATTATGATTGGCTGAGTGCACAGGAAGACCATTGTRCATGTGTTTTATGATGCATTCATGGACTGACTTTGAGAGTTCCCTGGTGTAATTCATTAAGCATTAGAAGGTAATGGCACACTTTATGGGTTTATACCTTGATTGTAATTGYACAATAACAGCAAAACTGTCATGTTTTCTAAAACGTGGATTWGTTCCTGCTCGTTTTATTTGCCACTATGGTCATACATTAAGGTGGCTTCATTTCACTTTTTTTCCCCCGTTATGGTTAATTTTATAACTGTATCGCATCATGTATCTTGTACACGGTTCAACATTCCTCCACACTAGTAATTCTGAGTACATTATTAAACATAGCTGTCCCGTCTCCCCCTCCCTGCCACCTCCATACGAAAACCGGGGATTCTGATTGAACTGTCGCCTTCCATTGCGTCGCCTCTTCCTGCATCCTGTCCCTAGGCACTGAAGTATAGCTTTTAATATCGCCTCTGCGTGTCTTAATTGAAGTACATAATTTCCTGTTCAATTTAAAACCCCTATTCTCCCCCATTTTCTCTCTCTCTCTCTCTCTGACATTTTTGTCACAACTGTCTTATCTCTATCGTCACACGCCAGCGTGATGAAAGGAATATTGCACACATGCATCAGTGGCCCACGTACATTATATTAAAAAATGGAAGGCGATATAAGCAGCGTTCAAATGCTCATTTCTTGCGTCTGTTTGTGCATGTTTGTCATCTGCTAGTCAAAAAATGAGCGTCCTGTGTTTGTTCCGAACTCGTCCTTGCCTTCGCACGTGGAACAGCTTTTGTTTTTTTTTTTGTTTTTTGCTATAGGACTTTGCAGCCATTCATGTAAAGCTCAAATCCCAGGCAGTTATAAAGCCCTGCAGTTGTTAATGAGATCTGGAGCTGCCTCCTGCAGGCCCTGGACACCCAGCTGATTCTCAGGCACAGTCAGGCTCCTGCATCAGCTTGTGTACTCCCTTCATTACAAGAGAATGCAAACAATGAGTAGAAAATGGAGAACATAAATATATAAAAATGTTGTACTTGCATCTATCTAAATGCAAGTCTGTCTGTTTTGATATTAAGCCACCACCAGTGGGGTTTCTTCAAGTTGAGGCATGAAAAGGTTTGATTTAGTCAGTTCAATTTCTATAGGAATTTTTAATCATCTACTAGAGAACAGTAAAACTACTATTGGTATACTTATGCAACTGTAGTTCTTTTTTTTTTTTTTTTTTTTTTTTTTTTTTTTTTTTGGTTCAAAAGAACCCCCCCACAAAAAAAATCAGGGGCCAGACACATTGAATTCTTTTACTTTGTTCATTTTGGCAGCATCCAAGCAGGAAACATATTACCCACGTTGGCTCCAGATCTAACCAGGCTGCAGGCTGTTGGCATCTAGGCACGATTTTGATTAGACTGAGTTGTAACAAAGCCATGAGGACGAACCCTGGCAGTGACTTCCATCTGCAGCCGCTTATCACAGAAAGGGCAGAATCATTTATTTACAGGGGAAACCCAAGGCTCGCTTCCCCTCATTTGACCCGTCACAGACAAAACATGCAGCCTGCTGTCATTAGCCTCGTTTCCTCTGTAGGGAAAAATGCAACTTGAGCCAACCTGTTCATCCTTTATCACTTTATTTCCATTACATTCCTTTTTTGTTTTTAAACATTATGAGTGTTCACTTGTTAAAATTGAAATTAAAACAAAAACTTGGAGAGCTTTCTTTTTTTTTTTTTTTACATGATTGTTTGGCTTGTTGTCTCTGTCCCTTTTTTCCCGTGCGTGATCTTAACCCAGGTCCTACTGTGGCCGTCACTGAGCCTGTGATTATGAGGCTTTTTTAAATGACTGGTGCAGTCCTGATAGATAACGTGCTTAACACCGCCGCGGGGTGCTGCTCCAGTAGGGGAGATTTGACAGTATATCAGCTGGATTCAATTGGAGGCTGCCAAAAGCCATTATCCTCTTCCTCTGCTCTTTTTGTKTTGCTGTTTTGAAGTGAAGAAGGGCAGGATATGGATTTACGGGGCGTTTGTGTTCAGTGTGGTCATTGTGCTAAATGCAGTGATTTTATTGTGTGTACAAACAGTGTGGAAGAGAGGGAKGGGGTGAAYCWCWTGTGTTGACAGCAGTTATGATGGGACTCAACCAAGTCTGAGGAGGTTTTAGTGTCCTAAGGTGGATTAAATCAACCAGGAGCAATGTATTTACATTTCACCTGGGCAGGTCTTTCTGTGTTTTAGTGGTTTTAGTTTAGACTCGTTAAATGTATGATTTCTTTGTCTTGATTTTATTGTATGGGTTCTATAAGKTGTAGAAAAATGTATAGTTTTCAACTTGTATAGGTGAAGCTATTAGGTATGTGGTTAGTCGTGTCACATGCAGAGTGCAGAGGGAAAAGGTCTGTGAAACATCCTCGTTCTTGTCTAATTTGTGTGCCAACGGAGGGGGCAGGGGCTACAGGGGCCCACCGGGGGGTAAGCAGGGATGGGGGCGGGGGGGTGAGCACAGCTGAAGCCTGTGAGTCTTTGYAGGGATGGTGGGGAATGTTCTGTGTGCCAAGGCTTGTTGGGGGCCTCCGTCCCTCCCCCTGCTTCATGTTGGCTGATTGGTAGAGAAAGAGATGGGAATCACATGGATACTGACAAACAGTGCAGGCCATCCAACTCACTTTGTTTCCTCTTTCCTGCCCCACACCATCATTAGACACCCTTACATATTATGTAACAGGACTTAGGCCCTGCAGGACTTCCTGAGCTTTAAGTTAAGGCTGAGTAAATAGCAGGAGGACGCAGGGCCTGACCCTGAGCAGGGGCCACGGCTTAGACCCATAAGCTCAGGTCAGTTGTGTTATTGTCAAGGCTGTTTATAATGTTACTTTATTTATTAGTGCAGTCAATAAATTGTGTGGTTTTTTTACTTTTAAGAATGTAATGTGATTAAAAAAGACTGATAAAAGTTTGTGTTTAAACTGTGACCCAGTTTAAATTTCAATGTTTCATACTAGTGGATTTATTGCAGAGTTTTAAATAGTTTGATTCAAYATTAAATAACTCATAAAGTATCTGTGGAAATAGCTGCATTAAGTTATAAACTAATTTATTTGTTGAGACTTGTACCACACAGCATCTCTGCAGATTGGTGCCAGTGGGTTTCAGGATAATCTGTCTCACTGGACTAATTAAACAAAATTATTTTAATTACATTTAATTTAGTTAGAATTTCAGTGTGTGTATCTTATCTTTCCTGGAACCTTTTTAAAGATGTGACATATCTACATATTTTCTGTTGTCTATATTGGTATCTTCATACGAAATCCTGCTTTTTACGTCTTTATGTACCCAATATAAAATCTCCTCTATCCAGCCAGAAACTAATTTTCTATTTTTTTTAACACACTGCAGAATATTCACAACCAAGTACATTTGGTTGTAATAACTATATAAATAATTTGAAATAAACASAAAGAAGAGAATAACACTTTTACCATCACACTTGTCTCAACAGCTTCTTCTTAAATTCTCTAAGCTTTAGCTGTGTTGATGACAGGGAGCAGGCTCGCTTGTGCATTGTGCTGTTTTTAATTTAATGAGCTGCCACTGTGTTTAAAGTTTTATATCGACTTGGCAGAGGCGGCAGCCAAGAGTCTGAGAGCTTATTTTCTGGAGACAAACCTCAAAGCTTTTGTTTATACCGAAGCATAAACTATCTTTCTATCTGATTGTGTGACTTTTATTTTTCCTCCAACTTGGCGTTCCCTTTAATCACTCTTCACCACCCACCTGTTTGCATTCAAGTCAGTCTGTCAACCACAGATTTTAGCAGCCGAGAATATTTTTGTGACAGCTTGTTGAGCAGGTCTCATCTGGTCGCTCTATATGTTTTCCTAAAGCCACTTGCTTTTTATGCCCTGGGGATGGAAATATTTAGGCACCTCACGATTCACATACATTTTAGATTATGAAATTATATGCAGTTATCAGGTTTTGTGAATAAAGGAAGCAGCTGGCAAGCCTTTAATGTTTATCCAAAACACTGAAACAGAAATCCAGCTGTGGAATTTGCAGTCAAATCTGCTTTAAAACCACACAGGCTGCATAAACACAAACTTACAGCAGCACAAGTTAGGAGAAAGTATTAAAGATTAAGTTTCCAGGAATGTCCTGCACGTTGTTTTATGTAATTGGGCTCACTAGAKTTTTGTGGCTTCTGTGATGCCACAGCAGGGGTAATGTTGGTAAAACCTGGATTTAAAGTTTACTTTTCCCTTATTGGTATGTAGACAGAGATGTGTGCATTTTGTCTGACAGCTGCTTCAAAGATTAGAGATTGTATGTTTTTATTGCAGTTTGTTTTCTAGACTTTCTCTGTACATCTCCTTTGTTTTGATCGGTGTTGTACAATTCATACATATTTATTTTTTTCCGTGCTTCTCTAGATTTCATCAGTCTAGGTGCAGAAAAGTTTGAGTCCTCTYTTTTATTTCTCCATCTCATTTCTACTTGTGCAGTTTTATTTCCAACTGTTCAATTTCTCGGTTGAAGATTTTAGTAGTTTATTCATCCATGTTTTAACAAGTCCTTTCCGATTTTTCTCTGTGCCGTGCCTGGTCCTCTGTGTTTCCTAATTGGTAAATCCTTCGTGTAAGGAGACAGGCATCAGACAAACTGCTTCCCTGTGTGTGCTGTGATTTTATGGCTTCTTCATTCCTGCAMCATGTGCTCATGTTCATTCCTTGATATCATGTGTCTTTCCTTATTACCGTGCCCTCTAGCCCAGAAACAGTTGTGTTCAATCACTGGAAGAAACCGTCCAACTTAGCCAAGTCATTTCTTAGCAATTTTCCAAACTTTTCATTTTGATCCAAGCCAAAATTAGCAGTGCAGCCAGGGTTAGTATCAAATGGCAAACCTTGGTCCAACAAAAAGAAAGTGGCTTTTCTGTTCTAAGCACAGTTAAAGGGAGTTATAATCATTTTCAGAACAAAAATAGAAAACTGTAGAAAGAACATTTTTTAATCAAAATACAATCTGAGAACAAAGTAACAATAGATTTAGCAGCTTGTGAAAATTCTACAATATGTTTTGTGAAAAGACTATGAAAATAGTAGGGATGCACCGATGTGAAAATTTCAGCCGATATCAATATYGGCTGAAATTATTGCTGTGATGGCCGATAACTGATATTTACTGATGTTRTACAAACACACACATTATATTACACAAATACGCACAAACACACTTGGGTCTTTTTTTGATACCGTAAATAAATGACCAGACCTCTGACATGACTCCTTACTTCAGTTATTCCTGTCTACGCAGCATCAACATCACTATCATGATCAAACAGATGCCGTTCAAACAACCATCTCCTCTYCCAAAACAGAAACACAAAGATAAAAAGTGGGAAATCAATATCGGATGTTAATATAATATAATAATGCCCAGTTTTACATATCGGACCGATACCGATATTCAAAAAAAACGACCAACACCGGCCGATACCAATATGAATGCCAATATATTGTGCATCCCTAGAAAATAATAATGTAAAACCCATGCATACTAGTTTAAGTCAGATCTTTGTTTGAACATTATGKTGTGAAAATGCACAAGAAGTACCGTAGCTTAATTTTAGCTTGAAWCATGCTAATTTTATATATATGTTTAACTACCATTTGGGCAAAATAGTGTAAACCCCAGAACATTTTAGTCAGGGTCACTGCTGAAGAAGTGCTAGTGTCAGCACTTCATGGGGGAGAAATATCTAAGGATGTATGAGAATACAACAGAGGTCAGGAGTAAAGCTAACTTTGGCATTGACTACATCACATCAGAAGRCTGTCTGCTCCCTCATGGCACATTTAGATTGTGCTTTTTTCTAATATTCCTCTCAGTAGCAACAAAAATGATGCAGMTGTCTGAGAGAACACCAGACAACAGCTTTGTATATGACGTGTACTGTTGTGTTGTGATGTTGGTATCAGGCTGACCTAATTTTTCTCCAACCCGTATTGTAGCCATAGTAACAGTAACCAGAWAACACGAGCTCCCGTGTCATTTAAAGGGTTTAAAGTAGATGCTGTCAGTACAACAAGGTCAGCTTTACATGAAAATTTCAGTAGAAAGTGATTAAAAGTAACTATCTCAAACTTGGGCCTTTTCCAGCCCATMATGGCTGCTGTCCTTTTTTCAGCTCCCATTGTTGTCACTGTGAGCCATCATCATGGCTTTTCATGTGTTTTCTTCTTGTTGAATCTTGTAGATTACCATTATGTCTGATGGTTGGAGCAAAGACTGGACAAGTTTTAAAATAGAAGGGAATAAAGGGGAAATGTGTTGCTACACTTTTCAGTGTGAAAACTAGGACTGTATGAACTCAAGGGAGGGAAGGAAACAAAKATTGCGATGAAGAAAAACAATATAGATGGAGAAGTAAAGAAATAGTAGGAACATGTCATCATCTCCTCATTTTGACCTTTTGCAGTGACCTCAACTCGAAGGGTTTTTCAGAATTGAGCTTTTAGCAAGATTTGATACCAAAAAAGCTGCATGTAATGCATGCATATATGGAGACTAAATTGTTTGTTGTCTGATAAACCTAAGCAGGAAATCATGATTTTAAAGGCCTGATGATCAGTTTGACTTTTGTCTGTCTTTATGCTTTTTAGTACATTTGTTTCAAATTTTCCGAGGTAGAGATATTTTGATTGAACGATTGGTCCGTTTAGTTTATAATCATGAAGCACAGCAGCTACTTGTACAAGGCTAATGGGTTTGAGTTTGTTTAAGCGCTTTTTCAACAAACAAAAAAAGAATAGCCCATCATTTTAGTATGACACAGAGATAATTTCTATTTGCATATTTCTGAGAGCATCACATCAATTTGGTGATGTCATKGTGTTGTGATTTGTTTCTTTTTCACTTACAGAGAACTAAACAGAAACAATCAGTTCTTTTCTCTCATGTCATACATCTAATAGTTACCAGGAGCTGTCACCTGTGCCAAGCCAAAGGAAATAAATGTTTAAATGAAGTTGTGAGTTTCTTCAGGCCCTCGGGCTAGCTGTCTAACTCATTGGACTCGCGCACACACACCACAAACAAGTCTATAAATAAGACCTTGTGTCTCCTGTCACTTTCTTGGCCTTCTTTTCAATCCTTTTAATCCTTACCATCGTTATTTTCTCATCACTCCTTGCCTTTTTTTTAAACCAGTTCTTTTTATATTTGCTTTTGTTCTTGATGTCACTTGCTTTTTGTTTGTAAATTATAATTGCATTTGCACCTCCTTATTTTTTTATTTTGAATCATAGTGTGATTGGGGAGAGTCACATTTCTCCAACGTTAAAGTTACATCCTTATTAAGTTGTTTTATCCATTGTGTCATTGCCACAGAATTTACACACATTAGCTTCTGGGTTAGAAGACAGGGAAGGTTTTTTTCTGCTGAATTCATGTGCAAACCWGTTTGTGGATCAAATCTTAACCTAGCAACAATCCACCATCACTCTTGCTATCATAGCCAAATTTCCTTTCCTGCAGGTCCTCATGCAGTCAAAGGTTTTATTGTGCAGAGATTCATTTTGATCTGAATTAAGTTTTCTTGAAGAACTTGTCAAGACTTGACATGGAGTCTTCCAACAAAATACCAGTGCTAGAATTTTTTTTAAAATACATTTTTGACTAGGCTTTTTAAAATGTTAGTTTGTCTCAGAAGGTAAAAGTTTTGAAATTCATCCAATAATGACCCAACTTGAATGCAGGTCTGTGTGTGTGAAACACATCAGTAGCTACACAATTCTTAATTAAAACAGTGGACGATATTGAGCATTTTCAGCTGGATTCTGGCTTTCTGCTCTTATGTTTTGTTGCTCTTTTTCTTTGTTGTTTAACAGCTGAGAGAAGCAAGCAACACAAGAAAGAGAATCATTTGATGGAAGAAAGGAAAAGGAAAAACCAAGAAGAAAAGATCAAGAAAGACATCCCTCAAAAAAAGGTGAGTTGCTTGAACACATTTTTTGGGGGGATTTTTTTATTTTCATTTGTAAACAAAGATCTGTTCGTTTGTCATAACCTAAAGTGCAAAGAAGTTAGTGTGTAATTTAATTAGTAATAATTTTTTTGCTTTAAGGATTAATATTTGCTGAAATAAGGACAAAACATTTTTCTTTATGGTTTTGATTTATTTTGCTTTCTCATTCTTCTTCTTCTCCAGGCCACTGATCAAAAACCCAAAGGTGAGTGTCATGATCAAGTAACTCTACAACTGATCTAGGTGAACTCTGATTACTTCACACATACTCACACAATCTCATGCTCATATTGTTCATGCCTTTAAAATTCCTATGCACATATAGAGACATGAATTAATCACATGTATGCACAACTGAGCCATATGACTTCATGCTTTTCTGACACACATGCACACATTTTAGAGCAGATACCGTGGAGTGTAATGCAGAGTGACGCTCAGTGCACCGCAGCATCAGGCAGTGAAGCGTGAGGGCACCCAGACGTTTCACCCAGTGTGATGGGGGATGGGATGTGTTGAATAAAAGAAGAGACGGCAGTGAAGCTGTGATACACAGAAGGGTAGGAGGAATTGAACGCTGTCCTCGTGTGCCCTTTGTGCTTTCTGCTGCAGTGGAGGCTGTGTAGTGCTGCAGAGTTAGCTTTACTGTCAATCTGAAATGCTATCAAAATACTGAGTCCTTGATCTGATGCGTGCAGTTTTTCAAATGAGACTTGCGCTTTAAATTGATTTGATGCTGCAAATGTATAAACATCTCTCTCATAAATCTATTTAAATGCATTTTTGAGTTTCCTCAAAARTTCAAGTGGAACCTTGACATAAATTGAATTCTTGTCAAGTGAGAAGTATCTTGAACTTTTTTACCTACAACATGTCAATAAAAACAGGTGCATACCAGGTATTATTTTATATTTCTTTCCACTAAGTAGTCCTCAACTTAAACTGAAGTTTACAATAATATAGTCTGCCAAGAAAGGCTTGAGGTGTTATCTTAAAGCAGTTCAGTTTGAGATATTTTAAGAATTTCTATTCTGGGTTTTAGATAAAGATGAAACAGGAAACATATTTTTAGTGCTCATGCATCGTGAAAAATAGATTTAAATACTCAAGAAATACCTCAAAAACCAAACATTCATAACATTACAGTATCATCACACAATCAACATTTTTCCTCTAATAGTTCTTTATTTAGGCCCATCACCRTATTCTAGACTTAGTGTTATGTTTTGTCCACCACCTTCAATCAGAAACTCTACAATATTTTGTCAATTCGCCTCCATCGCAACAGTAACAAACTACTTAACTGAGTGGTCTAGCTTGCACAGCATCTGTCTTCTCTTTCATTTTTGACAGCCGCCACACTTTAAGTTGCACTTTGGGTCAGTTTGTACAACTAAAATACTTAGCTTTCTCAGTGAGCAAACACCCATTGGTTTTCAACYTGACTGGAATTCTTTCAAGTGCGATACGACTTTCGAGGTAATTAAGTTGACCATAAATATGTGTTTGAGATATGAGTGAAACCTAATCCAGGAGATGGTGTTAAAGTTGTTAGTGCCTGTCCTGCTCTTAGTTTACCCAGCAGGGTCATTGTCTGGTTTTGCCAGTAAGCGTTTAACAACGTTCTCTCCTGCTTGCCKCGGACTCTTTCTGGACAGTTTAATTAGTCCCTCACCCCTGTGCTCTGCTGCACTGTCTATAACCTTTGCCTTTTAATCAGTTTCAAAGCTTTACACAAGGCTGGTTTCAGCTGCTTCCAGTAGAACATCAAATACTTTTCTGAGAGGTAAAACTCTGGCCTTCTTCCAAATTGCAGTGATGAAAGTCACTCACATATTTTGCATTCACATCATTTGGTTGCCTTTCATAACTACAGTTTTGTTTTCATTTGTGTACTTAGAKTTTATTGCTTCATTCAAAAACATTTGATGAAGATTAGAAGATAAGGTTTTTACTTTGATTATGAAAAACTGTGGTAAGAGCTGAGAAATGTTGCTTAGTTCTTGAGATGCTTGTTGGTAACACAATTTGGGTATGAGCTGTTGTTGTTTCCATTAAAACCTTTAGGATTTTCYTTACTCATTGACAGTTTAGAGCCCAAATCATGAAAGAAACTATCATTACTGTATCACACATTTTTTGGACTGTTTATTGTGYATCAGCAGCTGAACTGTAAAGGAAAGAAATGTTTACATTTGGTAGAAAAGATCACAGACAGGAACCCTGTTTAAAGGAGGACGAGAAAGATGGAGGAAGTGTAATGAGCTGTTTTGGGGTGATATCAAACCTAAAATAAAGAAGAAAGGAAACGGAGGGAAGAAAGCAATGAAGCTTCGAGCACTTTGGATGAGTGCTAAAAATGACCACCAAGCCTCAGCACTAGCGCTAATACAGTGAACTAATGGCATGGACTTTTATTTTAGGGTGTATTTAATGAGAGATGTAGCTGGAAAGATACTTGGAATGAGAAACTGTATGTATTAAATGCTTATTCAGAGCAAAAGAAGAGGAAAGTTGGGGATATGAGTCCGTTTAAAGACCATGTAAGCCATCAGGAGCTGCACAAGTTTCTCCCAACCTTCCATCTCGGATATCTTCAGCATGAAAGGTGGCTTTAATGAGATAAAGATGGGTTTTCATACATGGCACTAAATAACAGTGGTGTGTGTATACAGGCAGGAAGGAAGAAAATCAGTATGCAGTAGTGATTTGAGTCTTTCCATCCATATCATTGCATTCTGCCTTCTTTACACATTTTTCAGAATTCATAGTCTCAAACACACACCACCCCCTCCCCGTTCCTCTCAGTCTTTTTCTGCTTTCCTCTCTGCGGGTCTCCCCRGGCCCAGGCACTTCAATTTGTTTGCAGTAATCGATCTGGGCCCAGCGYGTTCATATGTATGAAAATGAGATAAAGCTTCGACTCGCTGGAATTAACTCCTCTGCCCCCTATTAGGCATGGAGCTTCATCGAATGCAGGGTTTCAGGAGGCTGTGTCCCCACTGCCCTGGATTCCTCCCTGCTCCTCACACACACACACACCCTTATACCCTTTTCTAGACTGGACTTCTGATACAGACCAACCCCTCCTCCCTTTCTCCCCCTTTGTGGTCTCCTCTGAGGGATGCTGATTATTCAGACGCAGCTTCATCACAATCTCTCCYGCTGCCGCAGTCKTCGCTTAMTTTWCTGTTGCATTCTAATGCTGATGAAACCGCTCTCATCCCAGCATGCACATATGACCACAGAAAGACTAAATGTCTACCTGTAGATGTGTTATTCTAAAAGCTTAGATTCATCAAAACATGCATACTTCTCCTWTCAGTGCAAAACCCTTCATTTTCTTCAGTCTTTGATTAATGCATACATTTACTTCATTAGGCATCACAGCTAAGACACTAATATCCTCGCTGTGATGGTTTTAAATGTTCACGTACAGTGAAACCTTTTTGCTGTGGTGAAAATGCCTAGTCCAAGCGGGAGGCACAATTCAGAACACCTGCTTTCAGATACAGAACGCCACAGCAATACTTTTTTTTAATTGTGGTTGAATTCTGCACCTTCATAATCAGAAAATCTGCTGTCTCTGTTTTTTTGCTGTTTCTGTATTTTTCAGTTCTCAGAAGGGTACAGAGCTATTGTAATCCCTGTTGCCTACTTTCTTTAACCGTGCGGGTTGTTCTGCCGGTTTCAGCCCCGGCGACTCTGCATTGCTGTGCAGAGGAGAGACATATTTGCACGGTGTCGCCATGGTGATAACAGCATTATATTTTTTCAAAGTGGCGAGAGATACACTTAAACCTAAGTGTGTCCCCTCATTTTGTATTGGATTAATTCACAATTTCACATGCTATTAATTGCGTCAACACTTTTAAAATAGAATTTCATGAATTGCAATCTAATTAGAGGCTAATTTACTTTAGGGTTTTCCGGCGTGCGTTTTTCTTCTTCCTTCCGTTAACCACATTTATAAGCGCTCAATGGATTAATAGTGTATAGCTTGCGAATTATGTCCAGTAGATTTATGACTTGAGTGTATAATTGTTTTGCTTCCATCCGCTGTTTGCTCTTTCAGCATGCATATAAAGTGCCAGAGGAGGGACGTAGGGAGAGACCAGGAGTGGAGACAGAGGAAAAAAAACAGAAGAAATCTGCAAGGATCAATATTTTCTTTTGTGGTTTTTTTTTGTTTTGTTTGTTTTTATTTGTTTGTTTTATGATCACTCATGCAGGTGACAAGACCTCTCCCATTATTGGATTGTTTCATTTCACATATTTTTCGCCTTAACCGGAAGTAGCTCAGATGATAGAGCAATAATGTTTAAATTTGTTGTTACAAGGTTCATTGTCTGCACCCCAGCATATGGGAACCCTTTTTGTTTTGTTTGTGGATSATAGGCATCTGCAGTTAAACCTAAACGGATAAGTGAGCAGCGTAAGTGAGACTCTACTAATCACAACWGTTAATGTTCATTTACTTGTGCAAGCGCAGAAAAACTATTGACTGCAGCTGTCCGTAGTGCACATACGCGATTTCATACCCATGCTGGGTGTTTCCAAAAACCTCCACCCTAAGACTTGGATTTAAAGGATTTTGAGTTTTGGTGTAAAATATGTTCACTGTTGTAAGCGAATGGCGGAAACACACTTAAAAATAGGGATGCACCAATAAGAAATATTCAGCCGATATCGATATCCGATATAATTATTGCTGTTATGGCCGATAACGATATTTACTGATATTACACAAACACACAAATTATATTACACACAAACGCACTCTTTTTTTTGATACCATACCAGACCTCCCACATAGCTCCCTACTTCAGTTATTCCTGGCTACRTAGTGTCAATATCTCTATCATGATCAAACAGATGCCTCTCAACCAACCATCTCCCCTCCCAAAACAGAAACACAAAGATAAAAAGTGGGAAATCAATATCAGATGTTAAATATTGACCCAGTTTTACATATCGGGCCGATGACGATATTCTAAAAAATGACCAATATCGGCCGATACCRATATAAATGCCGATATATTGTGCATCCCTACTTAAAAGCAGCATTCTGTAAAACGGGTCTGAAAGAAATGAAATGGCTTTAATTATGTTTTAAAGTTGTAATGTCTCATAGATGTATGTCATAATGGGCCTGTGCTTTAGAAGCCATCTGAAAGCCCACCAATAAGCGGTACCCGTGATGCTTCAGGGTTTCATGTGCCCTCATGACACTGAGGCTCTAACTGTTGGAGTCAGTGTTCTTCTTCTGTTAAAACCTTTAAAAACTATTCTATTTTCTATCATGCTGTTTAGCCATCAGTTTTGGAAGCCATATGTCCTGAGGCAGTTGTTGCCCTCAGGCATCGATTCTGCATAGTACGATTTTGTTAAAGCTCTTTACCTACAGTATATGCTAGCTGCTTTTAGGGTTAAATGGCGAGAGGGGATTTTTGGGACACCTCTGCCCCATTCTGACGGCTGGGGAAGATGCTGCTGAGATATGCAAATCAAAAAGAATTAAAGCTGAAATCAGTGGGGGATTCGGGAAGACTAATGAAGGGAATGGAAGAGACGTAGTATGGGAATGGGTTGCATAAAGCGCTAGGGGGTGTGGGGGGTCACGAGAGGTGCATGAAGCTGCATTAGGCAACTGTCAGTCTCTATAGCAATGACCCCTAATGAAATGGGTGAGTGGTGAGAAGGAGGGAGGTTTTGTTCTTTACTGATGCCAACAGATGGGACGTTCTATAAACGCACTAATTCTAATACTCAATTTTGTATACAGACAAATAGTCATACAAAAAAACTTGTTACAAACAACCAAGTGTGAAGTTTCAACATCATTTTACAGTTTTGTTTTTAATTGTGATGATACAAATGTTTTCAGTGTTATACTAGACTCATTACCTTTAGATATCAGTGCTTCCTGAAAGCAAAATAATCAAAGTAACATTTCCATGTCAAAAAGGATACAAGTCTCTGAATGCAGGTAAAAAGTGTTCAGTGGTATACGAAGCAGCTTCCTTTTGAAAGAAAGGATGTTTTTATTTCAGTGTTGAAACAAGGTGCCAGATCTGGTTTGGTAAAGGATTTTGACAAGGAAATAAGAGGTGTGTTTCTGAAAAGATCACAAACTCCCTTTCTGTTTGACATGTATTGTTTGTTTGCCTGTTTTTAGCCTTTTCATTCAATGCATCAGGAAAGCCTGTTTGTTGTTTTGGCTTTAAGGATTGTTTTGATCTTGTTTCCCTGAGAATTTAAGTGGATCTTTAATAAAAACTCCCTTTATAACATCTTTTTTTTCTCGGATTAAAAGCAAATATTTTATCTCTGCTGTAGAACCATTAAAGACTCTACAAAAGCAGCTTTTAGACAATTGTAAACAATTTTAAACATGTTTTTACTAATTTTCCTACTTCTTAGCTATAATAAGATCAAGAAATGCGCCATTGTGTTGAATATAAGCCTGTGCATTGTCTATACCTCCCCCCTTCTCCAAACATGGCTGCATAATAAAGCAGTTCTGCAAACAATAGACGAAGGAGATGTGTGAACCTGCTCTGCCAAGCAGAAGGCTGAGGGAGACGTCCAGTTCTTTGCATTAACGCACGCACTCACACACACACACACACACACACACACACACACACACACACACACACACAGAGCGAGTCCTTGTGTCCATTTCGATTTCCAGTTCAGCTGTAGATTCTTCCATGAATTTCCATTTGCCATTGTCTCCCACTGTAATTTTTTTCAACCTCTGCTATACCTTGCATTCTCTATCACTATATAATTAACCATTTTGTTTAAATGAAGGCTGTAATTAAAACTTCTGTGCATGGGTGCTGACAAGGCTTCAGCAGAAAGGTTTAATGAAATTTTGGGATTTCAAACAAATTCAATGAAAAATGTAACTAATGCATGTTTATGAACAATCACCTCAGTCTGAGAGAGAAAAAGAAAAAAAATAATCATCTTAATTTAAGGTCAGTTTTTTGTCACTCCCTTTGTTTTGTTATGATGCTCACAATAATCAGTTTTAACATCTCAGCCGCTTTAAACTTCTGACATTTGAGCATTAAGTGCTGGTAGAGTCTGTTAATATATTTGGTCAAAAAGAGCCCACGAAGCACCTTTTTAATGCATTTGCGTGTGTGTGTGTGTGTGTGTGTGTGTGTTTTTTTAAAGCATTTATTTGAAAAGTTGGCCAGACTTCAGAACTGGTTCTGGTTGTGCCAGAACTTGTCATCTTTAGGATTGGTTCCCTAAATTGTTGCTGTCCAACCTCTGTTTATATGCAAAACAAGTTTATTTTATTTTTTTTTTTTTTGGTTGCATATAAAAGAGTCTTGACAGTTTCTCATTGTGTTCTTGGATGTCTTTAGWCTACAGGTTGAATTTTTCTAACTGGAATAAAGTTTCAGACTTTGAGAGGTTTCTGGGTTTCTTGGAAATAACTGTTACAASAGTCTGTGGTGACACCTTGCAGCAGAAGGAGAGAAAAGTTATGCAGGGTAAAAATAGACTCGTTGGAAACATTCGTCTGGGGCTGGAAGAGCGATAAAAGAAATTGAAAAGAAAGTATAAAGACAGATTGGATGGGAGAGATCTTTGGACTGGAGCCAAGGGAAATGACAGGGAGTAAGAGACAATACAAGTGAGAAGAAGAAAAAAAGAATGTCACACGATGAAAGATCAAAATGTAAAAATGTCCAGAAACAGAATTACTCAGAGGGCTCTGAAACCTGGCCAGGAGTAGGAAAGAACATTTAAAAAAAGAGGCTCTGTGGCTTTGAACCAACCTGCAGATTAAAAAAATGATAAAGTAAAGAGAAGTGGAAACAGAATAGGTCAGACAGGGAGGACAAGAGACATGGTGGCTAGTATTCACCCTCCTGCTGTTGGATTGGCTGAAACAGCGTCAGGTGGGCTGGGCTGAATTTAATCAGAAATGTGCGTCACCATTTAAGCCTGCAGWTAGTCAAGCTTGAACAGGGCAAACTCTCATTCTGTGCTGGACACAAATATCAATGTGGAGATTTATGCAACACTATTAATGAGCTAATAATGGTGGATTGCTGCCATCTGAAAGTAACTAACTTTCAAAATTTTTGAGCTGTTTTGAACACGATTTTATAAATCTTTACTCCGCTAATTAATGCTAACTATTTCTGCCACAATAACCATGTAACGTCCTGACAAACGTGTCCTCTTGATGCCCCGGAAATGCTACATMATATGACGGCTGGTGCTATTAAGTATTGTAAATAACCATAGAGTACAATTTAAATTATTATGTTGGGCAAAATTGATGGAGATGTAAAGCCTCTAAATTAGCATTCACAAGATTTGTTGTAAAACTTTGGAAGTGCAAAAWTGAACTTAGTCTTAGCTGTATTTGTATTAGCCTTTAGCTCGTTTTCCATATCAAATGTAAACTCTTTAAACTGGGGTCTTGCGAAATGCTGCTGGTAGGAAATTTGATTTTATTTTTACACTAAATTTCCCTTCAGCCAAATGCTTTCTTTAATCTCTAGTGTGTTGATGCAGACCTGTGCTTATGTTCAGAGTTCATTCCTATCAATGAAGTTTTACATTATTGTCAGTATTGTTCAAGTAACAATAAGGACTCTTAAAGCAGCTGAGAGGTTGAAACRTTGATGATTTGATCTCCCTCTTCACCTTAATTACACTGCATCTTTCTCTTCCCATTACATTTTCATGAGTGAAAGCAGTAACTGCATCATTAGTTATAGAAAGCTGTAACTTAAAGCACTTATTGGGTCATCAGCTATTTCCATGTGACAGCTGGGTACTCCTGTGACAAACCTGCTTTAACCTTTCGTTCTACTCCGTCTTAAATGCTCAAACAGTCTTAGAGTCATAACAGCATGCTCATATCTATTAATGAAAAACAGCGTTCAAGTCAAACATAATTTTTTTAGGAGCTGTCCAGCTTCTGCAACTCATAACACTTTTTCTGTCCATTATCTTTCTGTCCATTATCTAATTAGATTGGAGCTTGGTCACATAACCGCTGGGTCACTTTTGGGTCAAATCAATTGTAAGAGCTCTGTGTCATGGAAGATGGTGCAATAGAAGATGTATATACTGAGAGATAAAATGTACTGCTTGTTATGTGTCGGCAGAAAAAACGACTTTATTTTAAGTCATGAACTTTATCATACATTCAGCAGGCTGCATAAAGGAATTAATTAGGTTATAAAACTCACAAACTAAATGTAGTAAGAGAAATAAATGCATTTCAAGGAATAGTTAGGCTTTTGTGCAGTGGAGTTTGGTGAAATATTATCAACAATATCTTACCTCATGTTATTTTTACATGCTAATACTAGCAGCTGGCTGTAGCATTTCCAGTCCAATTTGGGGCAAAATTTAAATTTTCAGCCAAAATAATCATGCATTTCAAAATGGAAGGTGGTGTTTAGGTTAAAATAAGAGTGTTTGCATCAACTTCTGTGAAACTTTTAAGCACTGGAGTTGCTCTAAAACCACAAAGTCTGCTTTGGAAGTGACTCAACTCAGAGTAGCCATTATTTGCTTGTCAATGTTTCCAATATTTTTCTCCTTGGATACATTTTTCCCCCCCAAGTAAATTCTGTCACTGACTCCATGAAGATCTTCAGAACTTGTTAATTTTTAAACCGTTTAAATGTTTTAATAAAACGTGCACAGCCACCGTTTTTGGTTTTATACTTAACGTCAACTCCAGAAGTTGCATTTTTAACATAAAAAAATAAATAAAACATCACTGTCTATAGATGTTAAAAGATATTCTAAAATCTGGCACTATGAGTAGCGTCAGCCCCAGTTTAATCAGCATTAACATCTCTAATGGATAATACAATGAGTTTACTTGGACAGTAATTTTTTGCGTTTTCCTGTGTGTGAAAGCTTTTATGCCGTGTATTGTATCTGTGCAGTGCCAGAGCCTGCTCCCTCTAAGCCCAGTCCTGGTCCATCTCACCACCTCCAACCCTCCAGCCCCACGCTGCCCCTCTCCTCCTCCTCTTCCTCSTCCTGTTCTCCTGGCAATGGCAAGCGCTCCCCCTGCGGTATCCAACTCCCGACTCAGACTGCCCCTCAGCAGCAGTGCCAATTGTCCTCTGCCAGTGCTCGCTACCCGCCCAGAGAGGTGCCCCCGCGCTTCCGTCAGCAGGAGCACAAGCAGCTACTGAAGAGAGGCCAGCCGCTGCCTGCAGGAGCTCTCAGTGCTTTCACTCGCTCTTCATCCTCTCCCTCCTCCTCTCCCCCGCCACCGTCCTCTTCTTCTTCTACGAGTACCARCAACACTACCCCAAACTCTGCCACGTCCTCTTCGAACGAACACCACCCAGGTTTGTGTCGGTGTAGTCGCTTTGTGTTACAGGAATCTGTGGAGCTGAATTTTATTTTTTTTATTTTATTCCCTGTTGATGCTAATGTCAACAGATCTGAGGTGGTTATTAATTTTGTATTTCAGCTCGATTCTGTCACTTAAGTTGTCATTAACTAGAGCTATTTTCATATGTTTATATCTAGTTATTCACTGTTTACCTTCCATCGTTCATTTTAATTTTGAATTTTAAGTTCAGTTTTTTCAATCTAAAACCCCACTGATAATTCACCACATTCATTATGTGTTGTGTAACAAATAATAACGTGCATTTTTGTTAAAAAATAACCAGTTTGACAAAAGAAGCTATAATGAAGACATTATTTGTAAAAGATACCAAGCAACATATAAACAGAGTTCAGTTGCTTTAATCTCTACGTGCTCCTACTTAATTCACACATTCTGATCTCTTTAGCCAGTGGTAGACTTTTAATGAGTCCCCTGTTGGTCCCTAGGATCAGTAATACTGAACTTGCCTCAAGAGGCTCCTTGTGGAGTGTTTGTAAGTAATGTGTTGCGGTTGTGTATTTAGATCAGTATTACCGCTGTTTCAAGCTCTATTTTTAAAATTTTTGGACATGACCWTTTTTCTCCGTAAAACACACACGTTTGTGCCATTGTGAACACGTTGCATTTTTCCAAGATGTTTGGTTTTTCTTTGTCAGATTGTAAACTAGTCAAATCAGTTTATTTATTACACTGACTACCAGTGTCACGTCTTCCTATGTTAACACACTGTGACCTTGAAACATAAATGTGAAGGTAACTCTGTCACATAGCATTTTCATGGTCATATTTTTGAGCAGGAACATCTGCTCACGTCTTTGTTTACTTTCTTCTCGCTCGCTGGTTTTTCCTTCTCTTTTGATCAGCGGTGCTCTGCTGCTTTTGATTACTGACTTAACGTTTGCTGTGAGAACACAGAGCTCTCGGTAAACAGATCTGCAGCAGCTGCATTGCTTGGCTAGCTAGTCACAAAAGTGTTGCAAAGGCAAAATGATCTTTGTGTGCCCCATTGTTGTTTTTTGTGCTAATGCCTGTGCCATCATTGCAGCATCAAACAAAAGCTAAGTGTATGAAACCAGTCAGGAAATTACCTTTTTATGTGTCTTATTTGTTTTACTAACACTCTTATAGCTGAGGTTTTGTACATGTTTCTCTTGGATACTTCAGTAAGATTATTGATGATATGCTGGTGATGTATCATAATTGAGATATATATTGATTTTTCTGCATTTTTCTATGAAACCATAAGCAGACTCTAAAATATGTATGATATCACTTTCCCCTGTGTGCTAAAAAGCTATATGCCTGGATTCAGTTCAGCTGTAGCTCAAATCACAGCAAAGAAGCATGTAGAATAAATCTTTAGAATAAAAAAAAAACCTGTCCTTTGGGCTTCATACTAGTTAAGACTCTCTGGTTCAGTGTATTAACCTATATTGGTTTAATTTAGCAGGTTTTGGCCTGGTTGACCTAGTTTCCCTGGGGTCTTCCAGTACAACACAGCCTGTGGCAGATTAGCCTCTGGCAGGGTCTGGCTTCTTTTGCACTCTTGTTTTTRTCCTAAGGGCTTCCAACCTACAGTCCATTCTTTTCTTGTCATCTTAGCTAATAGCCTCTAGCCAGCAGCCATGTTGTTTTGGCAACTCTGGCCTAAATTAGAMAGAAGATATTGTAGTTGAATTCCTATGTGTACCTGAATCTTCTTACATTTAGCAAAKTGTGCTTGTGTCAGCTTGATTACTTCTTCTAGCTTAAAGAAATGCTAACTCATCAAAATGTAAATATAATCTGCAGTATAATATAAAYACAGTGTTTTGTCATAKTCATATACAGCATTGTGTTTATGAYATTTTCACTTTTCTGTTACAAAACTTGAGTTTTGACTTGTAGTGAGGCTCCATCTGTTTACACAAACCTCTTCTGGACTTGCTGACTCACTGATGCTTGTATTCATACTATTTTTGGTTTGTCTCATCACATGCTTGCACACGGGGGGTACAGTTTTCACTCTAGCTTAATAGTGGGTGATAATGTTCTGGTGTTTCAATCGTCTCTACAAGAAGAAAAGAACTTTGAGGGATTTCCCACGAGGAATTTGACATAGTTTTTTTGTTGTGATGAATTATCCAAATGTGGATGGCAGCAAATTTCCAAATGCAGTATTTCCTCAAAACAAGAATCTACTTTTCTTCTGTTTATTGATTGATTCAGTCTTTCTTGTCTGCTGTGTCTGTGGTGCCTCCTTTATATGGAAGGGGCACTTAATACAGCACAGTCTTCTGCTGATGGATGTGGTGGACCAGAGATGACAAAATTTGCCACAGTCTTTGAGTAAATGTTAAATCATAATTTCAGCTTCAGAGGAATTTGGTGATGGGATAGTTCATCTCTGTACRTGTGCTCATGCAAACAAACACGTAAATTTAATGTTGACCTAATTATGTCTTTTCAAATCGGTGTTTCCTTCACTTTAGCCAGTATGGAGTGTAAAGAGACACATAAATTATTACTTTAGCAGCCATGAATACAGCACTATTATTTAATTAATTTGTTGATTCAGAATTTGTTTTCAGTCATTTTGCGATTACTATCTTTTGAAATTCAAAAACTCAAAATTTGGTGTTTATGTAATGAATAAATTAAGTTTTGAACATATAAACAGTTATATACAAAGTTTGAAAAAACACACCGCTGCTAAATTCAAGGGTGTTTAAATCCCACACTCTCACATAACCTCTGCCCTCCCACTTGCATTTCATTGTCCTACCAGACAGACACCCCCCACCCACCACCCCTTTTTCCATCCTTCTGTCGTGCCCGCTATTGCTATCTCTCCAGCTGACTGGGGACCATTAAGTGGTCTGAAGCAGCCAGCAGCCGTCCAGACCAGCAGGTGCTGAAACGAGGGTCTTTGAGGACTGTGGGAAGTGCAGCAGAACAGCTGTTTGCTGGTCATCCAGACAGAACAGGCAGCCAGAAGGGACTCTGTCGGTTCTTGTGAAAACACTTGGCCCTTTCATTTACTCTTTTTAAAAGTCAAGTTTTAGTGTGATTGCTCTTAAACTATAGCGGTTGAGTGCAGGGCTGCTTTACAAAAAGCTTTAAAATACTTATTTTACTTGTTAAAACATCTAATATTCTACAAGCATCATCACATGAAAATGCAGGCCCATTTCTTTAAGTGCAGTTCTGTTGGGATGTAAAATAAATAAATAAATCTTTCTTGTTTTGTATGTTTTTAAAACCATCAGATGATGAAAAGACTACTTTGCCCTAATGAAGCCAGGGAGGTATGGGTTGCCTCTCGCTGTGACACACTCAGAGTCACACAAGTGAGCGAACCCCCCAGTGGCTTCATTAATGCAGCCTCTGTCAGGGAAACCAGAGAAGTCACTGCAGCCTCCTGCCTGTATTTTCTCTCATATCTCAGCAGAGGTAAACAGACATGAATGATGAGCTTTCCAACCCCCCGGAGAACATTCCCTCACTCTTTCGTTTTCTCCCTGCTTCCGGAAAAACAAGTACACACTGTCCTTGATGCGACTGGGTGTACAGCTCTCAGTGAGAAATGGAGAGCGTCTGTTTGGGGGACAAAAGACTAATAAATGTCCCTGCTTTCTTTGGTTTGGGTTTTATGTTATCCCACAATTTACACTGCATCGTTAGGCTAGATTTGTGTGTTGCTGTCAAAATAAGGAAATCAGTTTTGTTGCCACAGTGTCTCTTTCATCTACTTACGCCTTTTCTTGTCTTTTCCCTTGATGCTGCACAAGTCAGCCCCTCCCCCCCCTCAGCCTCTCATTCTCTTTCTCCCCACCCCCTCATCCTTGCTTGTTCTGTCACCCGGCCTTTCAATTCATTTAACAGGGAGGGGAGATATTTAATTCTTGGCGAAATGCCCATTTCTATAATGGCAGTGAGCCCTTGTTATGAAAAGTCCAGCTTTTATTATTTTTGCTTTAACTCTGGATGGCATCACAGAGAATCACTGTATTGTTAAAACCATCAGTTATGTATACATCGGTGAAAATGTTTATTTCCTAGTATCCCAATAGTTAAAACAATCTGAATTGTTCCATGCAGGAAGGAAGCGTGCAATAACATGCTCATACATTCACTCAAAAGGCAGCCTTGCTCCCTGTTGGGAGCATGAGGAACCATAGAGGGCTCCTTTGTTTTTATTTTTTAGTCCTTTCATTCACAAGGCATAATCAAAGACTGCCCTCCTAATTGCGACCTGAATGAACACAGAAGCGCATTATTCACACATGATTGCAAACGGCGGATGAAAATAATTGTCCTCAGGTCTTTGTTTTTCGTGTTCAACTTGCTTTTATGCCCCTCCTTCAAATCAGTGACTTGCCAAGAATCAGCACGACTTTTCTGGAATTCCTGGGAAGGAGTCAAATGAGCACAAATCAGCACATGCTTGGGTGAATTGTAAAGAGGTGGTTTTGTTCTAGTCAGTGCACATGTTTATACATATTTTTATTGCAATGAGGTTTGCAAGTACATACAAAAAAGCATGGATAAAATTATGCTAACCTGTTTTTCTGTGATAAATTATACTACTTGTAGTACTCAGCGGTTCATTTTAGTAATGACTCATTTACTACTGAAAAAACACAGTTACAGAAAATTATGTATAGCCAAGTACAACCTAGTTTCCCTTAAGCTGCAGTGTTTTGTCTTTTCAGAGTTTTAGCGGTTGCACTTTTGCATGCCACGGGTTTATTTAAATAAGCCTCTTGCTCAGATTTTGAAATGGAGTAAATAAAAAGCAAGTATGTGCAAATGGAAGAGAAGAATGTTGAGGGTGGGCACAGTGTTGACTGAGCCAAAGACAATTTTTTGTAGTGGCAACGATTCTATTTTTTGGTTGGCAATCATTTCTGACAAAACCACTTTGCTCCAAAAATTGTCTTTGAAAGGGTGGGGGGGGGGGGGATTTGGTGGGTATAAAAAATTTTTTTGCCTTTTTTTTTTGCTGTTTAGTAACAAAACACCTACGAACCAATAAACGTTTGAAGTGAGAAAAGAAAAGACCGTCTGTTTGAGTCCTTTTTTTAAATTTGGAGTCTTATTGAGCAACAAATGGCACGCACARGTTATTCTGAAATTGTCAAATCAACCTGTTTTTTCTTTCGTATGTGTAAACTGTGACATTTCATCCATCAGTCACACTTTACATAAAGAGTTTTTGGAATGACAAAGGGCAACACACCTCTATAGTTCAGTTTAAGTTCTCAAGAATATGTTTAATCATTAGTGATAGGCCATATTTTCTGTTCATTTGAGCAATTTCCAAATGACATTTTTTGTACTAGGTTTTGCCAAATAGAGCATGAGTCCTGCTGAGTTCTGCTATTTAAGTGTCCCTCTTCCTTGTTCCTGTAGTCCGTATTACTTTGGGCATTTGTCATGCAAACTGAGATTAGTGCTGGAACAAGAAATAACTGTCAGAAGACAGAAAGCTTGTGAAAATTTTAATTAAAGCTTTTTTAATTGCATGCTCCCATCTGGCTTGCCTTTAAGTTTTAAAAGCTTCTAACTTACTGAAAAACACGGTCAGTGCAGATGTAAGATCTATCCTGCTGTGATGTTTTCCTTTTTGTATTTTCCCGTTTTTTTTTTTTTCCTTTTTTTTCTGCAAACTTACTGCAGACATTTGTCGTGCATATCTGCCACAAGTCTGATAACACCATGCAATAATGCTGCCTGGTGGTGGAGATAAGTATTTTGAGGAGAAATTTTCTTTCACAACACCTCTTGCAGCAAGTTGCTCAGTATCTAAAAGAAACATGCCCGTCAATAGTTGCCCACTCACCTCCAACAAATGAATGTTTTCTTTAACTGAGTGAATTGTTTTGACCTTGACGCCTCTTTCATATAGTCAGTCATTTCTAGCTGTATTGAAATTACTGCAGCAATTTTACAAAAGCGAAAGGTAACGAAGGGCAGCAGCAGCGAAATGGCTACAAACAAAATTTTAATAAACGGTGTCATTGCAAATATGTTGGAGGGATAGTACAGCCCATTGTTGAGAATTAGGCAACTATTTTTCTGAATTTAGTGGAAGAGTTCCAACTTTTAAAAGGAACCACACAACACGATACACTAATAAAAGAAGCTCATCATACACCATGAGGATTAACCATGGATCATGTGATTCTCTGATAAGCTTCACACAGGCTCTAAAGTACTTTAGAAACCTAATGGAATGTATTTGAAATAAACTTAGATAAATATTTAGTATCCATGTTTCCCAAAGCACATTAATCTTCTAGTCTTCTCAAATAATTACTGAATGAACTTCTGCTTTTATGTGCTTGTTTGGCCTTTGTGCTTGTGATATTTATAACTGTAGTTCTCATTGGTTTTTCAGTCAGCAGCCAGAGGCTGGCCTAGTGGTCAGGGTGTTTGCATGCTGGATCAATAGCCTCCCTGTTCTCCTYCACTAGCATTAATAAGATTATTGATTAGCTGCCTCCCAATGATTGATTACCCTTTTATACCAATGACTAGGCCTATTATTAGTTTCCCCATTTGATGAGATGCTTTTGTACCCAATAAATTTGCTTTTGTGTGGATCCATGCTGATTGTATATTTGCTGGAAACACTATCTTTTCTGTTAGTCGTATTTAAGTGTTTCTCAGATACTAATGTTTTTGACACAAATATGTCTTGTAGAAGTTTGGAAACACCTAGTTATGTATTTTGAATGAGTGTGTATGTCCAAGTTTTTTATTCAACTCTGTACTAAAAGGAGAGAATAAATTATATTGGATAAGAAAGCATTCTTATGGATAAGCAAGTAGTATAAAGCCTGCAGAGAGCCACAGTTATCTGTAATATTATGGTGCAGTTGGAGGGAGGAGGGTGTAAGCTAAAGAGTGATGGATGAGAAGCGGTCTTGGTTTCATTCCAATAAATGTGCATCGTTCCACTTGGGCTTCCCTTCACAGGACTAGCCAGCAAAGCTAGGATGGAGACTGATGGACCTTTTGCTGCTGCGTGTTAGGAGTGCAGAGGAGAGAGGGAGAAATTAATGCATGGAGGGGGATGAAGGGTCGAGAGGAAACGCATACCAAATTAAAAATGAAGTGGGTGGGTTAAAGTAATAGATAAGAGCATCTTCAAAAAGGAAATGAGAACCAAARGAGGAAACAGCTTGGAAAATAGTTGGAATTTAAAACAAAAAAAATGTGAAGAAAATGAGAGCAGGATTGTGGATAAAATAAAGAAAGCAGAAGTTGTATCTTTTTTTGGTTGGTTGACTTCACCAATGAGAGGATGTATGGTGCCTATAAGAAGTATTGGATGTTATTGCTGCTATTGCTGTCATAAATCAATTGTAGTCTTCATAGAGTTTATCTGGATTGTTTAGGCTCTAGTTAGGATTTAATGCGAGTTTTGTTCAACAGTGGCTTTCTCTTTGCTACTTTCTCATAAAACACCAGACTGGTAAAAAAAAAACTTAAGCAGCTGTTGTCAAATGCATTACTTTATAGAAATTTTTATTTCACTTTTTGTTTGAACGTTTTCAGACTTTTGTGTAAAAAAAAAAAAAAATGGCCTATTTATTTGAGCAAGACTGATTTATGACTACGATAAAAGCATAAAACATCCAAGGGAATGAATGAATATTTTAATAGACACTATATGAATATGTCATAGCTATTATGATTTGAAAGCCCCTTGACTGTACATTCTGATTATCTGCTAAATTCTTGAAAGCAAAATTGTGACCTTTTTAATTCACATAGCTGTTGGTAACTAACCAATAAGATAAAATTGATTAAAAAAATTAACTAGAAACTTGTCCGTAAAGCATGATGTTCTTCAAATTAAGTCCATACATATACACATCCCTGTTTTAATTTTTATCCTTTTTCATTGTGTACACATCTATTGTCATCATCTTAAATAATTCACCCCTACCCCTCCTAATGCCCCTTTTTTGACATGGTCCAACAATTTGCTTTAAGTTAATTGTAACTTTTTGTCTAACCCTCATTATCTCTTTTATTTCTGTCTTTAGACATATCCCTCCAGAGTGGTTCTGGTGCCCGCTATGATAGCTCTCATTGGGGATCCTCTGTACCACTTGACAAACACTCCAGTGCCAACAGTTGGGACACAGTAATCAGTAACGGAAACGATACAGAATCTTGGCCATCCATCAGCCGTAGCAGTGACCCCCTCCACCTGGCAACACCAGAATGCTCCTTGGACTTAGCTAGCTCTAATCAAGACACCAGTGCTGTCGTCACAACTAGCAAGTGTGGTTTTCTGAGTATGGCCACAGGTACTGCTGGCCAGCAGGCCCTCTACAGCTCTCTCAAAACAAACAATAACATGATGACAGGACCTGTTTCAACCAACACACTATCAGGTAACAGAGGGTGGGGCTCAGATGGAAAACAGGATGCAATGAATAGTGGAAGAGTTGGACCTTCGAATAACTGGGGACCACCTAATTTTAACTTGAACCTAAATCCAAATGCCAATCCATCAGCCTGGCCAGCTCTGGGACATGAAAGTGGTGGGGGTGGTGTTATTGGTCCCAGTGGAGTGTCCAACTCTTCATCCCTCCCTCCAGGTATAAATGTCAATGGAAATATGAGAAATGGAAATGCAGATAATGGTGGGGGAGGCTGGGTCAGCATGATGAGCGGTAATGAAAATGATAAACAGCACCCTTCAGCCAACACAAACCTATCCTTCAATATGGAGCCTGCTAACCTTAACACTGATGGACCAAACTACACTAAACAGCAACAAGCTCAGGAGCCTATGAGCCCCATTCATGGCTTAACTGGTTGGGGAGGCCAGTCACCCACTGAATCATCTAAGCTCAATGGTGACACAACAGGCAGTTCTGTTTGGGGCAGTGGAGAAACCAAGGCAGCTGAGTCTCCCAAAGACTCAAGCTGGGATTCAACTCCCTCCACAGCTCTCTCTACCTGGGACCGCCAAGGAAGTGGTGGTGGTGGAAATAGTGGAAATGTTGGTTGGGGTGATTGGGGCAAGTCCTCTGGGGTTGGAGATGTATCTAAAAGCTGGGACTCAGTAGATGCTGGTAGTTCTGGTTCAGGTCAAGAGCAGCAAATTAGCTCATGGGGCAAGCTTTCAGGAACAGCCCCAGCTAGTGAGGATAGCGGGGACAGCAGTGAGGGTCGATCACATCACAGAGACCGATCCTCCAGCATGGATTTTACCCCTTTGCTACCACGGCAGGACCTTGATCCTAGAGTACTCAGCAACTCAGGATGGGGACAAACCCCCATCCGACAGCACACTGTTTGGGAGATGGAAGAAGCCAATTCTGATGATGGGAAGAGCAATAGCAGCTCTGACACCATGGGATGCTCCAGCTCCAATGGTGGCCCCTCATCAGCCAATGGAGGTACTATTAACCCTCATACTGGACCCAATCAGAAGCCTAGTACTGGAGGAAAAAGTGACAGCGAGGGGTCATCTTCATCTGGATGGGGACCCCCTCCACCTCAGCCAATCCAAACTGGATCAGGATGGGGGGACCCTTCACCTACTCTTAACAATACCACAAATGGCACAACCACTGGCTGGGGAGATCCTTTACCTACTAATGGTTCTAAAAATGAGGGCACCCCATCCTGGGGTTCCGAGGACAAGTCACCCAACTGGGATGATGGTATGATGAAAAACCGCCCTACTAGCTGGGGAGAGGGACCCAAAAGCTCCCATGGTTGGGGCAGTGGTAATGGGGGATCCAGTGTCTCCACCCCAGGGGACTGGGAAGAGCCAGATGTCAAGAATAGCGAGACTTCTAGCAGCATGTGGGAAGAAGGAGGTAATGGAGGAACTGGTGGATGGAAAGACAGCCCTAAAGGAGGCGGAAGAGGAGGAAGTGGGTGGGGCAAACCTGCTCCTGCTGTGAGTAACTGTAACTGGGGGGAGGCCCCGCGTAACAGTGGCCCAGTGCAGGGAGGCTGGAGTTCTTCCAAGCCCCAGGAAAGCAGCAGCAGTGGCAGTAGCACTGGCAGCATGGGTTCCTGGGGTGGTCCTAGCTCAGTGAAGCAGAACAACACTAGCTGGGGAAACGTATGCAAACAAGACCAGGGCATGGAGCCCACTGGTTGGGAAGAGCCTTCTCCACCCTCCGTCCGCAGGAAGATGGAGATAGACGATGGGACATCAACCTGGGGTGATCCCAGTGCCTACAACAAAACTGTCAACATGTGGGATCGTAATAACCCTAATAATAACCCAGGCAACAGTGGCCCTCCTCCCACCAAAAATGGAGGAATGATTATTTCCAACAATAACAATAATCATCATCATCCTCACCACATGCATCATCATAACCATCATGGCCAGCCCCCAACTCACTTGCAGCACCAAGGAAATAACAACGGATCACCAAATAATGCTGCGTCACATCCAGGTTCTGGGCCCCAGGGTAGGCCTCCCATTGCTAACCCAGGTATTTAAGATTTTTATTACATTTTTATTATTAAAATTCTTGATTATGTTCTGTCAAATTAATTATAGTTTCCATAATGCTAAAGAAATTGTCTATAGCACTAAAACAGCTATAAAAAGACAATTTAAAGAGACATTTATACTAAACCATAAAGCAGCAAAACTACTAAAAGAACCTTGAAAACTACTTTTTATTTTGAGAGTATTTCTTACTTAAAATAATTGTATTTATTTATCAATTGATCTTAAATGATGTGATAACCCTTAATATGTTTATTAGTAAACATTGAAAACAGCAGTTTCAGTAAGTTCAGGTGAAGACAAAGACCAAGTCTATAGACATGTTAGCATTAATGCCAAAAATACATTTTTTTTCTTTCACTTGTGAATGAGACCACTGCACCCTGCTGTTTGCCATTTGTAGCACACAGCCATTGATGCTTAATGATCACCTTAAGATGTACTCAGGGTGACCAGATACAGTTAATCAACCAACTCAGGTCAAATCATTACAGCTCTGACCTTTTTTGAGCTGCTGTCTTTTTCTGCTCTTACATATTCATAGAGACAACACCTGACAACCAAGAAACATCCAATCAGGAGGAGGCTGGCATTTAATTTACCGCACCTCTCTTGATTTCTGTTTCTTACGGTTGCTAGAAAGCAGCAAAAAAGTTGATGTTTTTCTTGATGCATAATTTTACAACATTCTAAATTCAAGCTCTTATCAGCCTGATAGTTGTTTGAGAAAAATAAAGGATGGCTCATAATTTTAAATAAAAATTTGTGGACCAAGATCTTACTGTTGCAATTTTATTAATCTGATTTTTATTTTTTCTGTCAGGATGGGGAGACCTTCCCAGTTTTCAGCCCAAGTCAGAGCCTGCTTGGGGAGAACCAGCAGCTCCGACATCAGCTGTTGACAATGGTACCTCTGCTTGGGGTAAACCCTCAGGTGGCGTTGGAGGATGGGGGGACAGTGGCCATGAGCCCCCTGGCCCATTTGCTAGGTCCAACGGACCCACAGCTTCAGCACCTTGCAAGCCAGGTAACACCCAAGAATGAATCATATGAAAATAAAAACATTTTGGCATTTTATAATGATATTTGCAACTTGAAGTTTTTGAAGTACAGGTTTGCGTTGAGTCAGTCTTGTTCACTTTCTGTAAACCACTGCTTGGTGTTGGATAGCTGCGTATTTTCACGGCATGCATGGTTAGAAAATAAAGCAGGAAGTTTCTTTAGACCACTACAATTTCTCTCAGCTCCGAAGGTGTTTGTTGGTGACACTTGACTGGAGTATTGCTAGGATTAAAGCAATTCAACGCCTCAGTAGGCTGTGGTTATTTTTATTGCGAGGTTGAACTGTTTGAAACATCACGGGAGGTGTAGGGGAAGTCATATGGCAACAGTGGCACCAAGTGGTCAGGTTAAAAATTACCTTCTGCTCACTCAGAACTAAATTGATTATTCCAAACATGGAAGGCTTAATAAATACTAAACGCAGACAGTTTTTTAAAATGTATTATTTGTTGGTATTTTTGCTTTTTTCAGGCCCCAAACCTATGCAAGATAGCTGGGGAAATGGAGAAGAAATGAGCATGTCTACTAACCAATGGGACACTGAGGATGGGGATGTATGGAACAGCCCCACCTCCCAGGAGAGTAGCTCTTCTTGTAACTCCTGGGGCAATGGACACAAGAAGTGTCCAACCAAGGTCAGACAACAGACTTCACCTTTTATCAGAAAAACTGGTTGGGACTGACTATGGCAGCAAGATCCTGTTGGTAGAAATTAGCTGACAATAATTTTGCTGGTGTTTTCTCAGGGGAAGATGAGCAGCAAGCCAGATGAAGCCTGGATCATGAACCGTCTCATCAAACAGCTCACTGACATGGGCTTTCCGGTACAAACACTGATACCCAAATAAGTGAAAATTGTATATTCTTTTGTTGTAAAACCCCTTCAGGTTTTATTAAYGGCAAACATTTTCCTCGTGTTTCACAGAGAGATCCTGCTGAGGAGGCGTTAAAGAGCAACAATATGAACCTTGATCAGGCCATGAGTATGTTCACTGTTTGTGTTCAWTTTAATTATTTTGGTATTTAAGCCAGTCAATCTTTTAAATTTGTTAGATTAAAAGAATAATAATATTAATGCAGTATATTTAAAATGTAAAAATTACTGACTCTATTTCTAAACTCTTGCTATCCTGCTTTCTGCTTCTAGCCGCCCTGCTGGAGAAGAAGACGGACCTGGACAAGCGGGGCATGGGTTTATCTGATTATAGCAACGGCATGAACAAGCCTCTGGTCTGTCGTCCCTCTGCACTCTCCAAAGACCCCTCAGACCGCGCCGCCTTTCTTGACAAGGTGGGAAAATGAGCAGCCGACCATTTTCACACACCTTCTGCTTGTATGTGATGTGTACAAATGCTGCACCTTCGTGAAGGGTGTTACTTTTCATTTAATTCATCCCCTCGTTATATACTTTATTTTTAACACGTTGACTTGTTAAAATATGCAGTAGATCAAGGATAGATTTAATGTGTGATCAGTTGTGTGAAATCCTCTTGCACACTTGCGTCATTTTATTTTTGTTTTATCGTAAATATCCTCTCATTTTTATTTATGTTTTAACTTTTGTTGTTTCCACTCCAGGATGGTGTCCTGTCAGATGATGCCGCTCCATCACCGTTTTTGCCTTCCCCCAGCCTGAAGCTTCCCCTGGCCAGCAGTAGCCTTCCTGGTCAGGGTCTGGGACAGGGCAATCTGGGACTGGCCATGCAAAACTTGAACAACAGACAGGTAACCAAACATTTTCTGCTTTAACGTATAGTACAGCTTATAGTTTTAACATAAATGAGCAAAGGGAAYGTGTACAATATTTCACAGGCAGTATTCATACACATCACTATTTGGATGACAGTTAGATAAATGGCACAAATATTACAGGGCCAAAGTACACCTAACCTGTTGTTTTCTAAATATTCATGGGTTTAAAACCGCTTTATTGTTGTTATAATTGCTTCTTTCAGATACCCAGTGGAATGTTTGGCGGTAGTGGAGCAGCACAAACCCGGGCCATGCAGCAGCAGCAGCCTCCTCAGCCACCAGTGCCACCTCTCAGCTCCTCCCAGCCTAGTCTACGTGCTCAAGTGCCTCAGTTTCTCTCCCCTCAGGTAGTCAGTCTGTGTAATACTGTAAGTTATAAAAACTAACAGTATCTGTTCACAAACATGGTGAAAGTGAGCTCATGGAYAGTACTTTTTTCTCCAAAGAGTTCTCAACCTTCTTCTAATGTTTTTATATTTAATTTTGCCACTAGGGGCAGCTGTTGTCATTTAAATGTCTGTTGTCTCATCTTTTTTTTTTCCTGCCCCCTCTTGTCTCCTGTTCTGCCAGGTCCAAGCACAGCTCTTGCAGTTTGCAGCAAAAAACATTGGTCTAAATCCTGCACTTTTAACCTCACCAATAAACCCTCAACAAATGAACTTGTTGTATCAACTCCAGCAACTGCAAATGGTAAAAGTGTATTTTGGTCTAATTTCTAAATAAACACTGATCGGACTTAAATTCAGTAGAAAAATTGCAAAAATGTGAAAATGCATGCCATTCGTTTTTATCGCTTGATTTTTTTTAAAAATAAAATTGTTGCTTTTGTTCCTTCCCGTTCAGGCGTACCAGCGTTTACAAATCCAGCAGCAGATGATGCAGGCGCAACGCAACGTTTCCGGCCCCATTAGGCAACAAGAGCAGCAAGTGAGTCAACAAGTGCAGAATGCAGGAACAAAAACATTTGGTCATTCATTACATGGTGTGAACATACATGATTAGTATCTCTGAGTGGTGACACAGCTACTGCTTGTTTGTCATCATTTTATTAGTATTGATAAATACCCATCAAAAATAGACATAATCTCCATCTGTAAACTTTTTTTTGTCCGTTCCTTAACCTCTGATTCTCTCAAGATAATTTAATGAAATTTGAAACACATCCTGTGTTTAGCAATGGGCTAAGAAACAGGGTCATGGGAAATGGCTGACACAATGTACAAATTGTCAGTGACTTGAAATAATGTCACAATACACAAAGACCTAATCAACCCTCGTAATTATTTATTGTATGGCTTTGGACCTGCAATAATACAGAAGTGATCTGTGGTCTCACATGACTCTCAGATAGCACATGGAGGATGGGTATCTTTTGATAATGTGGTAAATGTTATATCTACCATGCTTGAATGTGCTGAACAGCCCCCGATTTAAAAAAAAATTAAAATCTGCTAAAATAAGCAAGGCTGCAGCTCACATTCCTTCTAACATTTTTATTGTTTTTTTGTCTTTGCTTCATATTTGTATGTTTTCTTATTGTCCCTTTTCTCTCCTTCAGTTTGCACGTACAATCACCAACATTCAGCAGCAGATCCAGCAAATTCAGCAGCACCAGCGTCAGCTGTACCAGGCGCTGCTGATGAAGCAGCAGCAACTTCCCTCACATTCCTCCTCGTCCTCTTCCTCTGCTGGTCTGCACCACCCCGGTGGCCCCGCCGGAGGCCATGGCTCCGGAAAATCAACTCTGGACCCCTTCACAGGCCCTCACCAGGCTCCGGGCCTCGCCGACACTCTGCACACCAAAGAGCCTCCGTCTTCGCCCAATGCCTACAGCACCTACCCTCTTTGTAAGTCCTGGACGGGGCAGGGACACACGAGAGCTGACACCTGTCGGACCAATAAAGAGTTTAATTCTAAACACATCTGTATGCATCAAAACTTACTGTGGTTATTCATGAACACAAGAAACAAGCATGTAACTATTTATTTTCCTTCTGATGTTTAATAAATCTCTGTAACTTCTCTTATATTAGATGTTGATGTGAGCAAGGAACTGTGCCTGTGTTTTATCTGCAGCTGGACTGAATCCAAACATGAATGTAAACGGCATGGACGTTGGGGGACTGTCCCTGAAGGAGCCCCCCCAGCCCCAATCTCGCCTGTCCCAGTGGACACACACAAACTCAATGGACAACCTCTCTGGCAACTCCTCAAATATGGAGAATAACCTCAATAAACATGGTAGGTTACAGAATCAAATAATCTCATACTTATTACACAAAACCTGTAAGAAAACAAGCTTTATATTGATGTTTAATCAACACAGCTGTAATAAGTTCACTGTATCTTTATTATTCTGCCTTAGGATTAATTTACTTTGAATAAAAGTGGGTTAGTTGCACAAAAAACAAACATAAAACTTGCRCAATGAACACATTACACATAAAAACTCACATAAATTATATTAAGAGTACCTGATATCCTACCACACTGTTACCCACATAAATTCCCTGTCCCTCTCTGTTAGTCCTGAGACATCCACTCATTSATGASCTTTACTAAGAGAGGGATGAATGAGTTCTGGTAATGATTGTTTACATAAAGGAATGCCGTACGTTCCTGAGTTCATTAAAACACATTCTGAATGCAGAACATGAGCATTAGACAAGGCACTGTAAAGTTAAAGGTGCAGCTGTACCCATGTACCTGTTGTCTTCAGCAGATTTAATATCTGAGCCTTTGCTTTTATGGTTAGATTACCATAAAATCATGCAAAATGAGCATTTTGCACATTTTTCTGGTGTTGCAGAGCTTCTGCACACCAAAAGTCAAATAACTGACTCATGTTTTGTCAAATGTGCCATGCAACAAGCCCCATTTTAAATTGAAGGACCGTATGTTTGCAGCACTAAGTTGTTAGTCTACCTGCTGTAGACACCAGTCAATGAGCTCTTTAATTAGTGCAATACAAAAAATAAATTTTACATTGAATTTGAGTGTTGCTTTTATGTCTTGTGACAAAGTTTATTTCATGTATTTTCCCAGTATTGCAACATGCTTCGTGTGCAGCAGCTTATTGCAACATATTCACATTCACATTACATGTGAAGCTGTCTGACGCAAGAGTGAAGGACTAAAAGTTTATACTTTGCTACAAAAAACGTTTCTGGTAAACACTTTCTGACCAGTGGTTAGCGAGTGTTGAGTAACAGTTTCTGAACTACTTTTCTCACACGTTTCACAGCACATCCTCAGAAAACCAAACCTCTTGGTGCCTCTTTARGCGTCTTGTTTGCAGTTGAGAAACTCAGCAGCCAATAGAGACTTATTATTTGTTTGGTTTTCTGCTTTCAAGCTAAGTTTGCTCTGTTGTTTGGTTTTCACACATTTTGACTGTAAGTTGCACCAAAAACAACATACTAAATCCTTATATATCTTTTTCTGTTCAGGTTTGAAAGCTGAGTTCATTTATACATTTATTAGTAATGTTGTGCCTCCCATACTTACACCATTATATGTGGTTTATCTTGTTGAGTGTGTTTGTTTTTGTGTTTTATGCATCCAGGTGCCATCTCTTCTGCTGCCTCCACCCTGGTACCCCCTGGGAAGCCTCCACAGCTGGAGGACTCGTACAGCCCTTACAATCTAATCTCTAACTCTGAGTCCCCCACCAGCCCCCTGGTGCCTCCTGACAGCTGGGGCCAAGGCAAGAGCCCCAATGAAAAGATCTCAAATGGGACCAACATCAACTGGCCTCCAGGTGAGAACAAAACATGTTCAGTCTCTGTTGTTCTTAAAAGCAGCCTGTTTTTATCAGTAATAATGGTTGATATTTTGTAAATACCATTATGGCTTCTCCAGCTTTAACTTGGTTTAAGCTTCTATCAGAGTTTTGTGTTAGTTTAATAACACTGAGAACATCAGTGACATCCTGTCATGTAATTAACCCTCCTCGAACATGGTCTTGTCTTTATGGAGCAGAGTTCTGTCCAGGTGTGCCATGGAAGGGCCTTCAGAACATCGACCCCGAGAACGACCCGAACATGACCCCTGGCAGCGTCCCCAGCGGCCCCACGATCAACACCAATATTCACGACGTCAACCGGTACCTGCTGCGGGACAGGAACGGAGGTATGGGAGGCTCAGACATCTGGTCAGAACAACCAGGAACCTTTTTAAAGAGACATTTGTCCCTCTCTTCGTCTTCTTCACCACACACTTCCATGTGCTGTTGCATCATGAGGTTTCCTTTTCCTAAATGTAGTTTCTGTTGTCTGCGTCCACTCAACACATCATCTGCATCACCGTAGCCACTTCCCCAGCGTCTCCATTTCAGAAAGCCTCTCTGCCTCCCACCAGCAGTGACTGGCCAATCAGTGACTGTTCTAGCTCTTTCAGTCTGTCGTCCTGTGATGGAGACAGCTCAGGTACTCGTGCTGTAGTGTCCCCACCCTCCTTTCACGTTGGTTAAGGTTGAATGCTTCTTCTGAACCTCAGCCCATGTATTTGATGTTTCCTACAAAAACATGCTCCTTTAGACGAGCGCAGCTTTGATTGTCAGCAATCTCTGCCTCGTCTAATGAAACCACAAAGAAATCAAGCCTCACCCAGGAAGTCACGACACCAGAACACACCCTATCCTCTGTGGTCTGTGTGTGTGTGTGTGTAGTTCATGTGTCGTGTAAGAGTTTTCCACTTTTTTTTTACACAAACTATTACTTTTAATTTTTGCAAAACGTGGCAAGAGTAGATAGAAATTCCTTGTCATCGAGCTTTCTCGTGTTTTCTGATGCACCTGATTATTAGTCATTTTTCTAATCACAAGGGTTGGTCTTGTGTAAAGATTTCTCAGATTTGTTTCCAGTCATTAGTAAAGATTTAAAAATATACATTTAAAAATAAACCTGCGCTTCTGTTTGTCTTTGTGTTTTCACCTTTCAAAGCTACATTTAGACACTTTAGTTATGTAAGCTTGTACACAGGTGGACCCACATTTTAAATAACACCTATGTGTCTCCTAATGTCATCCTCTCTCCATCTTTTTTGTCTAAAGGTAAACTGTCTGACATGAAGTCCACCTGGTCTCCAGGGCCCATCACTCAGAGTCAAGCATCTCTGTCCCACGAACTGTGGAAAGTCCCTCAGGGGCCACGCAACACCACAGCCCCGTCCCGGCCCCCACCAGGTCTCACCAACACCAACAAGTCCTCCTCCACTTGGAGTGGCAACTCTTTGGGCCTGGCCCCGGGCTGGAGCGGCTCCTACTCCTCTGGTGAGAGACCAATTTTGCATGAAACTGGCCCGCCGCTCACCCACGCTTTGCAACATACAATTGTGAAATCTTGTGACATTTCACAGGTTTGGTTTCATGTGTTGTTTTCTTCGCAATGAAACCACATGTAATTAAATTACTTAGAAAAAGTTCCCTTTTTTTTTGGCTCTAATCTTTGTCAGAAACAGCCACACTGTAGGGTTTGTTAAATGAACACAAGAAGTTGTTTCCTTTCCTTTTAAGGCAATGAATTTAACCTTTCTTATGAAATTTTACCATTTCAACACTGCCAGAACCTGCGCTCACCGAGAATATTTTAAAAGATGTTTTAAAAGATTGAAATCAAACTGAGAACATGTAGCTCTATCATTTACTCCCATCAAACACAAGCAGCAGCAGATTTGTGGCTTTTGTTACAGGTGCTACTGAAAACTCACATCTCTCGCTTTCTAAATGTTACWCGAACACACCCTGTTAAACTGACATTTTGGGGTTTTTCAGTTCTGTGAAAGAAGTGTGACCTCGAAGTGACACGACACTGTGTTCATGCAGCAAAAAGGAAAATCTTTGCATGTTTGTGACCCTGAATTCTATATAAATAAAAATATTTTTTGTCAAATTTACTTTCTGTGAGGTTAGATTTGTTAAAAATTGACTTTTTTTCCATTTCTGTTACAGAGGGAACCACGTGGAGCACCGACAGCTCCAACAGGACCAGCAGCTGGCTGGTGCTGAGGAATCTCACCCCACAAGTAAGTGCTGTCTGTTCAGTAGTGTTCTAAAAAAACTTGTATTTTATACTTTTATTTTACAGATAATAGAAAATCACAGACAACTTTAGAGTTTAAAATTTGAGTAAAGCCATAATGCAGCATGAAATGCTTCTTTTCACCTGTTTTCCTTGTGTTTTCAGATTGATGGCTCCACTCTGCGGACCCTGTGCATGCAGCACGGCCCCCTGATCACATTCCACCTCAACCTGACGCAGGGGAACGCCGTGGTGCGCTACAGCTCCAAGGACGAAGCCGCCAAAGCCCAGAAGTCCCTGCACATGTGAGCTCCAGCAAACACTCTTAGAGCAGTATGCAGACAGAAAATGGGGAAGATTTCAGTGAAACAACAGGGTTTTTGCTGGGTTTTTATGGTATTTTCCCACTTTCACAGCCCTTTGTCTTTTCCAATGAAAGCTGATTATTATTTTCTATTTTTAAACGTGGACTGTCACATGAATGAAGAGGGAAGTCATGCTGGAGTCAGATGTGCTTTCATGCGAGTGATTTAAGCTACTTGTTTCTGTTACATGTGAGTCCTGCTTGTAGTTGTGGAAACCAAATAACCGTGACCGAGTTCTGTTAACGGTGACAGGAAATGTGGTTAGGGCATCTCTCAGTAAACCATACACGTAGAAAACACAAAAAAGGTTTTGTTGTGTWTGAATAATTTCATGCTGTTTTCACAGTTTTATCTCTGATTTCCGTTTTTTCTTTCGTCCTCTAAGGTGTGTGCTCGGAAACACCACCATCCTGGCGGAGTTTGCCGGGGAGGAGGACGTCAACCGCTTCTTTGCACAAGGCCAGTCGCTGGGGGCAAACACCACGAGCTGGCACGCCAACCCGGGAACCAATCAGAATCGGATGGGCGGGGCAGCTCAGTCTCACACGGTCGGCCAGTGGAGCAGCGGCAGCGGCGGCGGGGGAAAGACCAGCGGGAACGATCTGCTGTGGGGTGGGGTGCCCCAGTACTCCAGCCTGTGGGGGCCGCCCAGCAGAGAGGATGCACGCGTGATCGGGAGCCCCACCTCTATCAACACGCTGCTGCCTGGGGACCTGCTGAGCGGGGAGTCCATGTAGGACGATGCCACGGTACACTAACCCACCACCACCGTGTTGTTTAAGCTGTCGGGGTGGGATCTTTAAAAAAATAACTTAAATGAAGAAAAAAAAAGATCGAAATGAGCAAGAGCAAAACCCAAGCAAATCATGTGGCGATAATCAGTATCAGATMAATTGTTTGGAACTGTGAATTGTAAATCAGAACGCTGAGGGTCCCTAACAGACTGTAGACCCCCAGCCCCTCTGCTTTACTCTGGTCCTCGTTTAGTTTTGTTTACCCTTTCCTCCTTTGAGTTTACTATTTTTTTAAATTGATCATATAAAAGATACTGAAACTAGGCATGGAGCAAAGAAACCTTTTTGGCGTTTTCGTTTTTTCCATAAGTAAACAACATTCTGTGTGAAGTGTTTTTAAAAGAAGCAATCAAAGCTGCCATCTGAGACTTCAAAAGAACTGAACAAAGAAACAAAAAATATCATCCCAAAATAATACTTAAAACAACCATTCCCAGCATATTCATGGCCAATGATGATGTTCTAAGACCTTTACTAGTTGTGTTAATGTTTGTTTCTCAGCACTAATATTAGCCTTAAGTGCTCTCTGGCCCAGGTCCTTCCCAAGCCTTTTTTCTTCTTCTTCTTTTTTTTTAAAGTTTGTTTTGTAACTGAAGAAATCGCTGAAATCTTGCACAGTTCACCTCTGAGCCAACAAGTGGTACATGCTGCGTCTGGTGATCACCGGCACGACCGGCACTACCAATCATCTGCTCAGATTCCTGAATTCGTCTCACGCTGGGGGTGACACAGCCGTCGACTCACAGGTGTGAATCCCTGCGTTATTACTGTTGTTGTTGTTTTTTTTTTTTTTTGATTGAACACAAGATATAAGCTGAGAGAAGATTAGTCGTCGACCTCTCTGCGTGTGTTTCCTCGTGAACTTGTACGTCCGATGGAATCTAATCATGGACTCCTGCAGATCCAGATCCTTCTGGTCACCTTAAGCCTGGACCTCAGTCGCTTACCGGTGCTTTGTTGAATTTTCTAATGTTCAGTTTGTTACGAAGCCAACGTGGTCAGCCAATTTTCAGAGGACGAAAACTACTCAGTTTTTCTTTGATGTGACAGTTACATTGTGCAATATACACCATCGACCTTTCTTCCGTCCATACTCCATCTGAACTGGTTTCCTTTTGTTTTTTTCTTGTTTCTAATTAAAGCAAAAGACTTACGAACGTAAAAAAAATACAAACTTGCCCCCACCCCCTTTTTTTTTCTTCCCCCAAAACTTGGATTCCTTCCAGGCCTCCAGTCCCACTGAAACTGTTGGGAAAACTCTGCAAAGAGGAAGAAGCAGCTGTTGAACTGTGCATGCAGCAAGCTGTACTGAAAAAGTGACACTGGGTACAACAATGCACACTTCCTCTCTGCGTGCCACAGCCACACCCAACAGAGACTGAAACCGAAGTGGGATCGGATGGTTCTGGGTGTCTGGCACAATACCAAATAACAGGGGTTCCTCCTAATGCAGTAGACCCACGAGTGTTCCTTGCGTTTGGTACTGTACAAACAGAAAAGACTTTTATAAATTCAAAGGGTTTTGATCATAGCACTTATGAAGARMAAATTGCTTCAACTGCAATCCAATAAATCAAAAGACATTGCAAACAGGAAATAAAAAAAGCTCCTGCTCTTTAATGTACTGTATCTAGTCCATGGAAATGTGTCTGCCGCTGTTCCTCTGGTAGCAGGACGAAGGGAAACGACTCAAAATGTTCCATCAGACTTTGGGGCTGGAAAAAAACAACTCCAGACTCGTTTTTTTTCCTGCCCTTCTGTGAACTTTATCAAAGTGAATATCACTGTTATCCCAAAATCATTAGCCTTGCTCTGTTCGGAGGCTTGCAACGTCAGCCGTCTCCGACTACTGCTGGAGTGCAGGGGGGGGGTGGGGCCAGAAAGGAGTGGCGTGGATGGAGGAGGGGGAGCGTCCACTGAGTGCCTCTTGACTGTGGTCCTCTGGGTGTCAGGCGGCAGAACCTCCTCCTGGGCTCCACTTGACCTTCCCTCCTCCTGATAACTAAAGACTGGCCAGCCACGTCTCCCCCCGCCCCCTCCCCATATCTCAGTTCTCTGACACAAAGATCACCTTAGCTGGAAGATGTAATAGTTGCATTTCTKGAATTTTTGCCAGTGTACTTTGTATTCTTTGGAAAAGATCATTTAAGTGTTTTTAATTTGTCTTTTTCAGTGTGTTATATTATTTTTCGTCTACATGCAGTGGTCTACAAGATACTGGCTGCTGAACTAGCCCTTCACTGTTCATATGCAGAAACACTTTGGTCAGAGGTGCCTCTGTACGTTCATCCTGTGTATTGAATGCAAAACGAGGATTAATACTTTAGACCGTTATTGATTGTCGATTGTTTTTAAACTGCTCATGCTTTTGTGTTTTGACAGTATTCATTAGTACCTCCAGGTAGTATGTTGAGGTGTGTAAAAAAAAAAAAAAAAAAAAAGAAAAAAAGAAGGGGTCTCAGATGCGGGGATGTGGATGTTTGCCGCTCTGCCCACAGGCTGCCCCCTCGCCTGTCACCCTCTGCCTGGCTGCTACGCTCTAACCTCCTCCCTCACCTCAACCAGACCCAGTAGCCCTCCTCTGGCCAGACC